ATATATATATATATATATATATATTTGTATATATATATATATACTGTTTATGCATAAACGTAAATTATATAGAATAGACGTAAATTACATGATAAATCAACAACAGAAGCCAGACGGTGCATCGACAATTCAGCAAAGGGCACCTCTTCACAAAACTGATGTACAGAACGTGGGATTGAGTTACGCCAGAGAATGGTATAAATATGTATTACATGGCAATATGCTTGTCACGTAAAATCCTACCTCTCGGGCCTTGCGAAGGAATTGCAGTAGATCTCCGTACGGCATGAATTCAAACAAAGCCATGTAAGGTTGGTCTACCGTCACACACCCAAGTAACTTTATGATATTTTGGTGCTTTCCAAGTTCGATCATTAACTGAATCTCGTCCAAGAAGTCGTCTTTACTGGCCGAATTATCTTTAGTGACAGCAGAATAATGTTATTGTTAATGTTAATACAGTAGATTTAAAATAGCGCATTCCAGAATTTACAGTATACCGTACCTACACAAAGTCTCGATGGGCTGTAATATTGATAAAGAACCATTACCATTAAGCTAGATTTGTCCTCATCATTATCCCCATCATTATAAGTATGATCATCAACATTTTATTATAAAAATCACTATTATAAATACCGCCATTAACATCATCATCATCATTTATTATCATCATCATCATTACCATTATCATCAGACAATTATCATCTTCGTCATCACCACCAGCAACACGACATTACACTCGTCATAATTATCAACTCCTCGTTATCGTTTTCGATCATTATCACCACAAATTCTTCACCATCATAGTTATCATCATAAATATAATTATCAGCAATAACCTCATCACCTTTAGTTAAGACCAGTAACGAATCCTACTATTTGGCCTACTATACGTACCGCGTAAACACTTAATCGCTACTTTTATGGTGCCACTACTTCCGCGTATCCCCGCAACATATCCCATCATCACTTTGCCGAATTCTCCACCTCCAATTTTCTTCTTTATCGTAACTCTATTTCTGTGTATTTCCATGTCCTTAAAATCCTCCGCTGGATGTAACATTGGGTGGGGCAAGTAAGTATCTGTAATATCATATTACACAAACACAATATGTTATATTGAAGATAGACAATGTTGACAAAAGTTCAATTGTGACGTCATCACTGGAACTCCCAATGTTATTTGCCTATTCCCAAGCGTCCACTAATTTTTCTACTAGTGGGCGCTTGGCTTGATTTTGTTTAGGTTCGTGTGCAAAAAAAAAAATCCTCATTTTTTACGCTTGGGAATAGGCAAATAATATTGGGAGTTCCAGTGATGACGTCACGATTGAATTATAATTACTATTAGTATCATCATCACAGCTAAATGATCATTTCACTATAGCAACCGATGACTGCTACAACAGTTTGTTATAAAAAAAAACAAACTAAAATTAAAAGACGGCGATTGACTTATAAAGCAATTAGTAGAGCATGCATCGTACAATAAATGGAAAATTATTATACTTAGGTTAGGTTTAATGCATTCAGAATTTTTTTCAAGTATTAAATCTAACCTTCGTATATTAATTTTCCTATAGTGCACTATGCGGAGCTCTACATAATTGCTTATTATTGCTATGAAGTTACGTTACTTACGTGAAGTTTTTCGTGCATCCCTCTTGTAAGCCAACGCCGCCAGTTCGGAACGCTTTGATTTGCGTCGTTTAATAACAATGACGATCAAAATTAATAAGAGTATGAATACCGCTGAGCAAGTAGAAACAATAAGTTTTACAGCAAATAAATCCTTTTCTGATTCTTCGTCTATAGGCCCAGGCGTGGTTCCTGTCTGTCGGTCTGTTTCTCTGCGTGTCAGGGTGTCTATCTATCTATCTATCTATCTATCTATAATGTACTGTACGTAAAATGGTACTGGTCGAACGGGATTGAATTAAAGTGAACTGATTCACTGTACTATCAATTGGATGAAATGTACTATCACATAAATGGCCAGACTAATATAATACTTGAACTGTTAACAAAATTCCACCATGAAATGTTTTTAGAATCGAATACTTACGGGGCCTTTCACAAAGCCAGGCGTGTTGTCTGTGACACTCAATATCATCCATCTCTCCATCTAGTTTGGTTAAGAATATTACACAGTCAGAACCGTTGCCATCGATACCTTATACGAAAAATGCAAATTCCTTTTCATTTAGTTTATTGTGCCACAATTTAAACATTTTTTTTATATGATGAAGCCTATTCAAACTAAATATAAAACAAAAGAATTTTGTTTGACTAAAATTAATACTTATTATTATTATTATTATTAATAATATTATTATTAATATTATTATTATTATTCCTATACTTATTATTATTATTATTAGTATTATTATTATTATCATTATTATTGTTATTATTATTATCATAATTATTATTATGACGTATTTTATTACCTTTTACACATTCGAATTATAAGTTTATTATTATTATTATTATTATTATTATTATTATTATTATTATTATCATTATTATTGTTATTATTATTATTATTATTATTATTATTATTATTGTTATTATGACATATTTTATTACCTTTTTACTCATTCGAATTCTAAGTTTATGTATCGTGATTTGACCCAAGAAAAGCATAGCCTACTTAATTTTAACTTACATATCACTAATAAAAATAATAATACAATAAATAAAAAACAAAATGAGACAAATCAAAATCAATAAATATTTATGGACAAAAATATATGTATCATAGTATTATGTCAATGCTTTTGCTCAAGGTTTAATTTCTTGTATCATGTCCTTGATGGTCTTAATGTCTTGCTTATTTTAACTATAACGTTAAAGGTTTTTATCGATATATAGACTGGAGAGTGATAATAAAATATGCCCCAATCTCACTTGACTTCAGCTTTGAAAGGGGCATTGGTTATTTGTTTGTTTAAAAAAAAATTGAATTTGCTGGCTGGCCTTAGCCAGTGACAGCTCATAGCCGTTACGCCACTGCAGAAATGTTATTACGCTCTTATTATTATTATTATTATTATTATTATTATTATTATTATTATTATTATTATTATTATTATTATTATTATTATTATATAATTCCTAGTAAATATTTTTTTTTTTAAATTACCTTACTAACTTCATAGTTTTCTTTTTTTTTTTTAGATTCTAGAAATTCAACAGTTCTCTTTTTGTCAATGAGTTAAAGCCCTACTCTGTTTACCAGACATAAGTCCAAATTGCTGTTGTTGTTGTTATTATTATTATAGGCTAATAGTTTCGTCGCTACAATATCATACAATTCTTGTAAGTTTACTTTTCCATTAATATTCAATCTATATTATTGAATAATAAGACTACGATCATATTTATAAGCTATTTCTGAAATATAAAATACTCATATATAATATATTGGTTTCTAAGCTTTCTATAGGTCTACCTTTGTCGTCTGGTTGGTCACTAGCCCATTTGAGATATTCTATTTGCACGTTATTATTTCCTCTATACACACTCTCCTCATTCTGTAAAATGCAACGTCATATCAGCAAATTAATTGGTACATTAAACGATATATATAATATCACACACTTCTATATTATTCAGTGTTCTTACAATTATTTGTAGTTCTAAATAATAATACTTTAATGCATATGTTTTCGTTACTTTGTCTAATTAGGGAGAGCATAAAAACATATTTGTTTTCATTTTAAAGGTACAGTATTAGACTAAAATTTGAATAACACCTCCGCTTCTCCACTGATATTTGGTGACGATCTAGATTTAGGTATGCATTTGGGGTAAATTGAAGTGCTCACGTAGACCTGAATACCGTATCTCAAAAACTGATCGATGTATCTGAATGAACATTTTTAGAATGGTTTGCAATAGTCCAAGGAGCGATGATTGAAGGCTTTCAGTGGTTTTCCGGAAAAAATAATTAAATTTTGGTTGACAATCTGGAGAAGAGTGTAGATATAAGGAGCATTTAACGAGAAACGCTGCAGACCAGATATCTTAAAAACGGATCAACTAATCTGAATAAAGTTAACCAAATTACAAATACGAAATGATTACTTGGAAGTCAATTACAGGGCCGGCGGAACATTTTTCGAAGTGGAGGGGCCCACTTATAAGATGAATGGGAATATGAATCATGCAGATCTGGAATCAAACTTAGGGGGTGGGGGTTAACATTTTTCCTAAAAATGAAAGGGGATCCTTTCTGAAATCTTACATACATCTTATGATAACAAAATTTTCGATCAAAAAATTAGCAAATTCAGCTATAATCCAATACTCAAAATTAAAGCTATTGTTCTGAACTTTCCAAAATAAAAATTAAGCCATTGGTATGCACAGTATTTGTCATTCAAACCTAGAACTGTGGTATTAACAAAAAATTGAGAATTGAAAGTTATAGAAATACCAAAAAATGACTGGTAATTATTTTCTTACAACAGTGTAGTAATTTACAGGAGTGATGTTTTGCTCTACCTGACGTGTTATCGTATTGAATACTCGGTACATCCCTAAATACTGGTGAAAAAAAATTACAAGTGATCAGGTGGGAATCGAACCCACGATCACCTGGTAACAGCCTGGTGTCTCAACCACTAGACCACCGAGCTTGCGCTTGGTGGTTAGTGATGAATAAGATCCCCAAGTAGCAGCGGGTACTGCAAGTGCTATCAAGGTGTGAGTTTGTGTCAGGAAAATATCATAGTAACCTCTGGATGGCCAGAAATGTCACTCTCCGACTGTGACAGACGTGTTGACTTGGCGTAGGCCTATTTTTATATTTTTTTAGTACGACTGCCCGACAAGCTCTGTCCGAAGGGGGTTTGACCTGTTCGGTGTGCGGGGGGAGGGGGTTTAAGCCCTTATACAAGGACCCCATAAAAGTTGGAGAGAAAACAAACATAGTACCAACATCCCGCATTTCAAAGTGATTTTGGTTGAAATACGCATTTTGCAGAAACACATGCGTGATCATAAATTTGTCACACATTTAGCACAGGACTATGCGTGATAACGAACTGTAACAAATTCAGGGGAAAATCTATTTAACATTTGAAGAAATTAGTTTTATTAAAAATATAGGAACGGTCATGCAGTTTAAACTTGAGTCATTAGACAGTATTTACGTGAACCTAATTCACTGACGCGCTACTAAACATTAATCAGTATGCCCATTCATTTTTTGTTTGTTTAAGTAATGAAATGTTTGTGTAGGCCTACATAGTTCGGGTGCTCAAATTAAACATAAGGTAGGCCCTTTATTGAAACTCAAATTGTATGTGTCTATATTAAAAATATTTTTGTACCTGGTATTGTCAACAAATGCTCCATGAAATAGATTTAAAACAGCTTTAAATGCTCAGATCCTCAGGGCCCTGCCTCTGGACCCCAGGCCATGCACCCCCCCCCCTCCACAAACTGGTGTACTCACGCATTTTAAATCTTTAAGGTTGGTAAATATGAACAAAAAATACAGTAATATGTCGATTCTGAAATTTAAACTTTTAAAAGCGGAAAATTTTCTGCAAAAAAACGTAAAAGTTTTGTGTTCTGGTGGCACATTCAGCTGCTTTAAAAAATTGATTTCTATTTTTTATTATTCAAAGTCGCGCTTTTCATTTGGTTTGAAGCTTAGTTAGAAACGCCCCTAGACATTTCCAATTGTTTCATATTCATCATTTGCATATTTTATAATATATTTTAACAAGATTTTATATGAAATATAAAGTAATTTAAGTTAATACTAAATGTTCATTAAAATCACTAGAAATTATTTTTAAAAATAAGGCAAAAAAAAAAGCAATTACGCTGTACAATAACACAATAAATAGGCCAATGTATCCTCATTGATTGCTTTTGCAGGTAATAACACCAGTACTATACGTACAATTGAACCAAATATATTCTAATCACAGGCAAAATATAATCACCTGACTCTCTCCCTGACGGGTTCCGGGGTCGACGAGGCTTCTTGTCGGTTATACGCCGGTAACCCTACGCTGAGTCTGGGCCCGGGCCTTGGTGAAGGCCCGAGCCTTGGCGAGGTTGAGTACTTAGCCCTGCGCATCGTATGATCAGACCATATA